CCCCTTAACTTAGTGCTCGGACACGGGAAAAATGACGGGCACGTTTTAAAACGTCTTTTTTCCTTAAAAAAATTTTTTTTAATACGATTCCTGTTCCTAATTTTAATAATATTTTTTTATATTCAAAAAAATTTATTTTAACAAAGAAAAAGGGAGGGGGAGAGGGAGCCAATTTTTTAAAAATAAAAATAATAATACTTCCGTTCTTTATTTTTTTAAATTTTTTCCTCAAAATCTCTCTTTCCTCGTGTTGTTGCCTCAATAAAATTAATAAAATAAAAATAAACAGAAAAATAAATAAAAATAATAAGGGAAAAGGAAGAAGTTGAATTAATTTTTATTTATTTATTCTTCCTCCCTCATCCCGCATTTTATTTTTGAGTCATCTTCCTTCCTTCCCTCCCTTCAATTTTATATTTTTAAAAAATATCTCTTTCAGAAATATCATATTTTCATTATTTTTGTCTATTAATATTTTTAAACATTTTTATTTTTTTTTAATTTATAATAAGCCAGATTTTTTTTTGAAACAATTTTCATATATTTTTATATGTACTATTATATTTTTATAACAATTTTTATACATATTAGTTCTGCCCGAGACTCTTGGTCTCGAGTCTTGACTCAAGATTTTTCTTGGGGTCTTGAGTCTGATTTAGGGGTCTTGATATATTTTATGTTGAAGTGGGATAATGTTACGACCCGAGGTGTGTCCGTTATTTAACTAATGTCGACGAGCACAACAATAACAGTTTATTCGGTGTAGAAATTAACAATGTGTAGGCGAACGGACTGGGACAGACGAGGGAGATCAGTACTGGCCCTACTAGTATGATCCAACTAGACTGACGTTTGTTTTCACTGGCTTTCATACTAAGCACTTTAAGGGCTGTCACCTATACACAACAGATAAGATCGAGATTATTGAATATGTTTGAGTTTCAGACTCTACGGGTTATTATTGTCTCACTCTCTTAGGGTGTAGGTCAGTCGTAGTGCTATTAGAGTCTGAAATTAATTTTTTTATTTCAGACACTAATGGTTATACATGTGATAATTTGATAATCTCTAAACACCTATTCCCCCCTTTTCACATTTTAATCATTTTTATCATCAAAAAAAAATTTTTTTTTGGCAATAAAAATAGAAAACGCGTCAATCTCTTTCTCTTATTAATTAATTAAAACCCCCCCCCCCTCTCGTTTCTCTTTAACAAAAAAAAATTTAAAAAAAAATATTGCGAAAATAAAGAGATGTATAAAATAAATAAAATAAATTGCCGTCTGTGATAAATTGCTGATAAAAAAATTTTTTTTTATTTTTTTAATTTTGAAAGAAGGGGAACATATTATTAGTAAGCAAACAACATTTATTTGTTGTTATTTTTAAAGTGTTTCAAAATAATTTAAAAATATACATTATTAACGTGTGCGTTTTTGGGGTGTGTTTGGGCGCAAGGGGATTTTTTCAAAAATACACCAATTTTCCTTTTTTAAAATATATTTTTTTTTCTTATTTTTCTTTCTCTTCACTTTTTCATTTTTTCTTTCCAGTACACGTTTTTTATATTTTAAAATTCTTAAAAAAATTTTCTAATATCCCTGGGTAGAGAGTGGTTTGAGGGGCTGTTTGGGCGCAAAGGGGATTTTTTTGTACCCCTTCTCTAATACAATTTCACTCGCCAAACGGTTTTTCATTTTTTACAGCCCCCTCTACTTTCTCTCGTTCGCTTAGAAAATGAGGGGAGGGAGGGTGTATTTCATTTTTTTTACCTTTACAAACCTTTTCATAAACCTCAATATATGAATGTTTGTATATGATATTTACCTCTCCCTTCCAATAAACAAACAAAAAAACCGTTTTTTTGTTTTAAAATGAAAAGCACTTGCCAATTAATAAGAGGTATTTCGCAACATACAAAATCGTTTTAAAACTAAAAAAGAAAATGAAAAATTTTACTTAATATTTATTTTTTTTTATTTTTGATAGACTCTAATAGGTGGTGGATGAGGAAATAGAGGACTTGGGGCATGAAAAAATAATAGGGAAAATAAGGAAACATGGGGACTGGTAGGGAACACTGAAAACTGCAGGGACTGGCACACAACCCTCCCCCCTCTTTCCCCAACCCGGGAAGAGGGGAGGGTTGGCATTTTTCTTTGAAAAAAATTTCAAAAAGATCAGAGAGCTTTACCCATTTCTCCCTTTACCCATTTCTCCCTTTACCCATTTCTCCCTTTACCCATTTCTCCCTTTACCCATTTCTCTATTTAGGTAATTCTCAAAATTCAAAAAAAAAATTCTTTCCTTATTTTAACACAAGAGGGAGGGGATGATAGAGGGAGGAGGGGGATGGTGTGCCAATTATACACTATATCTCTAAATAGAGTAGCTAAATTCATAAAGTTAAAAAAATTTGATTTTTAGAGTCTAACTAACAGAAATATATAATTTTTTAAAATTTATTTTACAATCTTTTTTCCTTAATTGTACTCAATATGTACTTTTTTTTTTAATATTTTTTTTGTCTAGACTTCATTTATATATTTGATTAATTTGTATACACAACTAAACATACACACACTTGCCTCTCCTTACCTTTTTTTACCTTTTTCTTTTTTTACTCTTCGCGCATTTTTAAGAGTGTATAATGTCTCCATATGTTTATTTATATTATATGTCCCCCCAGACATTTAGCAACAATAAATTTTTTATTTTTGTTTACTAAAATTGGCATTCTGCCCAAATTTTTAAACCCCTACCTAGTGATGGTCGGGAGTTTAAAGTAGTTTAGAGTGGAGGCAAAGACCGGGAATTAACCCTGATACCGAGGCCAAGATAGAGAGAGTCTTGACCATCACTAAGAGTATCACTTCCTCTACTACCCCTCACTTTAGAAATTTTAACAAAAAGAAATGAAAATAATTTTTTTTTTAAGCGGGGGAGGCTTTTTGAAGGAAAACACAAAAAATTTTGAATTATATATTTTTTGGAGGGGATTAGGGTCTTTATAGTTATGGATTTTGTTTGTTTTTGAGACTATTTTTAGGTTAATTTTAAAAAATAATTTTATAAAACGTATGTTTTTTCAGAAAATTTTTTGATTTTTTTTTTCAAATTTAAAAATTTTTTTATTTTCTATTTTAAAAATTTTATTTCCTATTTTTTTTATTTTTTGAAATGTTGCCTATCACAACGACACACATTTATTGCTTAACAATGTTTATTCAATAAGTTTAAAATTAAAAAAAAAGTTTATAGGAAAATTTGTTTCCCTTTTTAAATACTACAGTAGAAGAATTGAGAAAATTGTAGCCTAAACAAATTTCGTGAAAAAAAAATTTTTTTTTGAAAAAAAGGGAAAAAATAGAGAGGGTAGAGGGAGAGGAGAGGAGGAGAGAGAATTAAAATAAAAGATTTTACCGTCAAAAAAACCGTTTTAAACTTTTTTTAAAAAATTTAACTGTGTATCTGGCAACATAAAAGAAGGGGGTAATGTAATTAATTATTTAAGAGTTGAACAAATAAAAAAATAAATATAAACTTTGTTAAAGAGGGCAAGTTTCTCATATTTATTTAAAGTTTAAATAAAATGTTCTGGTTTAATTTCTAAAAAATTTTTTTATATAAATTCTGATTTTTATTAATTTGTGTTTTATTCAAGTTTAAATATTTTTCTAGGTTTTATTAATTCTGATTTATTAATTAGATATTCTGATCTTTAATAATTCTGATTTTTAATAATTCTGATTTTTTAAAATAATTTTGATATTCTGATTTTTTATAATTCTGATTTTCATTAATTCTGATTTTTATTCTGATTTTTAAATAATTCTGTTTTTATTAATTCTGATTTTTAAATATGATTTTTAGTAATTCTGATTTTTAAATAATTCTGTTTTTATTAATTCTGATTTTAAATAATTCTGATCTTCATTAATTCTGATTTTTAAATATGCTTTTTAGTAATTCTGATTTTTATACACATTTTTAAATAATTATTCTGATTAAATTAGAATTTTAATCTATAATTGTTTTTCTAACAATTCTGATTTGTAATATGTATAAATTCTGAAATTCAATCTTAGTAATGCTTATTTTTATCTTTATTATTCTGAAAATTCTGATTTATTAGGTAGTAATGTGAAGGGTTTTTTATTTAATTTTTAATATGGGAGTTTTTTGTCTACTAAATTAAAAATTTTTTTCTTTAATAAATAAAAAAATATTTTTTATTTAAAAATATTACTTATTTATTATTCTCATTATTTTTGTAAAAAATTATTTAAAAACAAATTACCTATTTATTTTAAATAATATTATTTGCACATCCCCTCCCAGACAAAAAATAATAATAATCAACAGATATATTTTTTTATTTTTTAAAAACAAAAACAAAATCGAGAGTACTTAACGCCCCCACCTGTGGAATTTTTTTTATTTTTTTTGGCTGGTCTACCGCCCATTTTTTTGTTTTTTTGGACACACAAAAAATATCCTCTTTTCACTTAAAAAAATTTTTTTTCCTGTTGTTATTGATACAAATCCCGGTAGCTATTTAAAAATAAAATGAGGGGAAGGAGGAGGATGGAACCGATCGCACAAACAGAAAGGGACGGAGAGATTTGTCAAAATTATTAAATGAGTGAGAGGGATAAGGTGTAGGTGTGTAAGTGTATAGTATGTATATTTTTGTGTTGATTTGCCAAAAATTATGGGTATATTTTTACAGCTGAACTAACACGTTGAATAAGCGAATAAAGAGATAAAATAGCCAATTTGGAGTGTATATTTTATTTTTTTAATTTTTATTAAAGTATATATTAATTAATTTATTTAGTATATCCCCCAAACCTTTAAATCTCTTCCTTTCTATTTTCTATTCGATCTTTGAATTTTTTTTAATTTTTTATTTATTTTTAATTAAGATATTTTATATATTTTTTATTTGTAATTAAATTAACAACAAAAATATAAAGGTTACATAAAATTTAAGAAAAATGGTTTTACCAACACCTACAACAAATGTCGAACCACAGCAACAAAAAGTTGGAGGGAATTGTGTGTTTTTATTTTTTAAATTTTTTTAATGAGATGGGGGGAACCTAGACCCGGGAGTCGGTAATCCGGTGATAACCTCAAAAAGCTCAAGGGTACCCGTTAAAAACAGGTCGCCAACAACACTAATTTTAATCTTTAATTTAAATTTAAATTAAATTTTTTTTCAAAAAACAGATTTTGTCAATCATTCTACTTCAACAAATGTTGATTTAATAAAATGTTTTCTCTGTCAAATGTTATATAAAGAACCAAAAGTTTTGGCATGTTTTCATTCTTTTTGTAAAAATTGTTTGGAACGTCAAATAAAAATTAAACAAGAAATATCAACTCCAAACAAACCACAATCAATTATTTGTCAAATTTGTTGTCAAGAAACCCAATTAAATCCACAATTAGGCATTGAAGGTTTACTTTCTGATTATGGACTAGAAAATGCTGTACAGTCTTTGGGGACGTCTACTACGCCGTATAGTGAGGTAGAAAAAATTTAAAAAAATTTTTTATGACTAGAAATACTATAGAAATCTTTATTTTATTTTTTAATAATATATAAAAAATGTTGACTATCAAAAGGGTTCGAACCCATGACCCTACCCAGTCCAAGCCTAACACGCTAACCATTCAGCTATGGAATTGGCAAGAATCCAGAGGGTCTATTTTTGGTCATAACTTTTTCCATTCTTTTCCGATTTGATTAATTCTTATATCAATCGAAAGCTCTGAATTTGAAGAATATTTTGTCTTGCGGGATCAACGCGATAAGATTGTTATGTAAAAAGTTACAACCGTCTAAGTGCGTGAAATCGTGATTTTTTGTCTTTATTTGACTATAACTTTGTAGGGAATGATTGTAGAATATCTATCTCACTTGAAAAAATATTCCTCATGTTTATAGCTATCGATTGATATAAAATTTATTCTAATTAGTTTAAAAATAAAAAAGTTATGAGTCAAAAATGACGAATAGACTGCTTGGACTGATTATGTTTTTTCCCTTTAAACCTTTATTTTTCATAGCAAAGCGAAGACCTCGGTTTTGGCAGTTTAAAATCCTCAGATGGATGGCCTGCACAACAAGTTCCAGATTATTTGCCTTCTTCTAATAATAATTCTTGTCAGCAACAATCAAATAATTTAAATAAAGTTCCTTCAAATGTGTGTATGTGTTTGGAGGTGGGGCTTCTATTAGAATTAATTGAAAAAATTTTTTTATTAATTTTTCCAGCATCGCCAACAACCTTTAGTCTTTTTTTGTCAATATTGTCAACATGCAATATGCCGTGAATGTGTTAGAAAACATAAGGATTGTAAAATTGATCGAATTGATAATGTTTCTAATAAACAAATTAAAATGATGGAGGTAAAAAAATTTTTTTAATGATTTTTTAATGCAATATCAATACAGAAACTTTATTTTAATTTTAAATAATAAATTAAAAATATTGACAGTCAAAAGGGTTCGAACCCACGACCTACCCAGGCTAAGCCTGACACGTTAACCACTCAACCATGGAGTTAACAAGGATCATTAGGGCCTACTTTTGGCCACAACTCTGCCAGTTCTTATCCGATTTGAATAATTATTATACCGATTGAAAGCTCTGGATCTGAGGATTATTTTATCTAACACGATTGATTCGATCAGATCATCCAATAAAAAGTTATAGACGAATGACTGCGTGCAATCGTGATTTTTGATCTTTATTCTTCTGTAACTTTTTATACAATGATTTGATCAAAACAGCTTTGCTAGGAAAAATAATCCTCATAATAAGAGCTTTCGATTGATATAAGATTTATTCATAGTGATTGAGAATTTAGAAAGATATAGTGACATATAATTGGTCCTTCCTCTTGCCCCTGTTCAATTATTTTTTATTTTTACAGCATTTATTAAATGAAGCACAAATAAAACAGAATGGATTAAACGAAATGTTTCAATTAATTAATTTACGTCAAAACAATTTAAATGCGAGTTTTCAACAAGCAAAGCAAACAATAGACGATACTTTTTATTTTTTAATAAAAACATTACATGAAGCACAAAAAAGTTTATATAAAGAATTGGAAGGAGCTTATAGCTATAATAATAATAATTTAAATTTAAATAAATTGGGAGGAGGAGAATATCGTTTAGGAGTACCAGATTTACAACAAGCTAAACAAGCTATAATTACACCATTTAATCAATTGAGGGCTGGAGGGGCTTGGATTAATAATAATCAACAACAAAATAATCGTCCATCGATGTCTTTGGGAACAACAAAAATTAATTGTAACAGTAGTAATAATAGCAGAAATAATATATTAGCTACATCAGCACCTACTAATAGTAATAATGGATGGGGTGGAAATAAGGTGTGTTTGATTTATTTATTTTTAATTAAACTTTGTTTTTACAAATTGTAAAATAAGTTTGTTTTAAAACAAGTTTATTTAATAAACTTGTTTTACAAATTGTATTTTAGACAAATAAGTTTGTTGTAAAAACATGTTTCTACAACAAACAAGTTTATTTATTAAAAACAAATTGCAAAATAAGTTTTACAACAAGTTTATTAAAATGTGTTTGTTTAAAAACAAGTTTATATTAAAATTTTACAACAAACAAGTTTATTTTTTAAAAACAAGTTTATTAAAACTTGTTTGTTTAAAAACAAGTTTATTTTTTTACAACTGTATTGTAAAACTTGTTTTGTCTAAATTCAAGTTTAAATTCTAAGTTAATATCTTCAAATTTCAGCCTCTAGTTTCACTCGATTGCAGATGCGATAGGAGAACACAAGACAAATGCGAATGTTAGATTACCACTATACAACATGCTTACAAAAAAGGAGAATATTAATTAACCACAACTTTTTCTTAACAACAAAAATTTAAACGAAACAAAACAACAAACAAATAAATTCATATTAAGTAAAAAATATTTTTTTTCAAAAATTTTTCCATAATCAACTATCTTTATATATTTTTATATAATTAATTTATAAAAGGTTTTTGTCAAATCTAATTTTTTTTTAAATTTTTTTCTCGATTTGATTTATTCAAAAAAGAATTGACAAAAGCCTTTTAACCATATTTTTTATTTAAATTTAATTTTTAAAACATAGTCAGACCTAAAGTTATTAAGCACCCTATATCACTATAAGATGTCCCCTCTTTTCTGAAAGAGATATATAACAGCCAATATAGACCTTATTATACCAAAAATTGTATTTTAATAGAGAGATCTGACTGTGTATAATATTTAAATTAACCAAACACCACTTCCAATCCTCTAAAATATATACAAAAAAGAGAGGAAACTGCTCTGCTCAAGCAATTTCTTTTATTATTATTTTATTTTTTTAAATATTATCCACTCCATTCTATCTATATTTAATCATTTAAGCTTTTTATCTTTCAAAATTACCTACCTATTTCCTTTTTCTATTTTTTAAAACCTACTTTTCACCAGTGCTTGGGAATTTCAATTTTGCTCGTACTCGTACCAGAGATAGGAAATTTTGAAAACCCAGGCCTTGGTCCAGACCCAGGCCGATCTCCACTTCGTACCACCCCTATTTTTGGCTTCGTACCAGATACGAGTTACCAAGTACGAGTACCTTTTTTGGTACGAGCGTCCAAGCACTGCTTATCATTACCTATCTTATTTTGTATTGTCTTTTTTATTGGTGATCTTCTGGGGGTATTTTTAAGGAATTTTTTTTGAAATTTTATAAATGGAAGATCACTAATTTAACAGTCAGGTAATTTTTTAGACCGTTTGAATAAAATAAAAAATTTTTCAAAAAAAAAAAAACAAATTTTATCAAGCATTATTTTAACCTAATTTTACAACGTTTATAACAATTATTTTTTTAAAAGAATAAAAAAATTAATTTTAATGGTTTGTGGTATTTAATTAATAAAAAATTAAAAACAAAAAATTCGGGTAATAGAGCTTTTAATTTTTTTGGATGCGATTTCAAAAAATCGATAAAAAATCAATAAATCGATATCAATCGATAAAATCGATAATTTATTTTTTAAAAATTTTAATTTTCCAAAAAATCGATAAAAAATCAATAAATCGATATCAATCGATAAAATCGATAATTTATTTTTTAAAAATTTTAATTTTCCAAAAAATCGATAAAAAATCAATAAATCGATATCAATCGATAAAATCGATAGTTTATTTTTTAAAAATTTTAATTTTCCAAAAAAATCGATAAAAAATCAATAAATCGATATCAATCGATAAAATCGATAGTTTATTTTTTAAAAATTTTAATTTTCCGAAAAATCGATAAAAAATCAATAAATCGATATCAATCGATAAAATCGGAATTATATTATATCAATCGATAAAATCGGAATTATATTTTAGAAATATAATTCCCAAAAATAATTTAAAGCTCCATTAAAATATTTTTAAAATACAATTTTTAGAAAACAAAAATTTTCTAATTAATTTTTATACAAATCACGAAATAATTAAAATCGCGATATTTAATTAATTATAAGGTTGATTTTTAGCTAACTAAAAAATCAACAACAAAAAATATATTTATATATAGTTTACAACAATAAACAAAAACAAATAAAACCAAAAAAATTTTTTTTGGGAGAGGGGCTTATTTTTTGAAAAATTTTTCGATTTTTTTTTCGATTTTTTTGGTTGGAATTTTGGTTTGATTGACCATCAAGATGGATGGCCACCAAAAATTTTTTTTGAATTTTACGTTAGAAATAATTTAAAAAATCCCCTCTCTCTCTTTCCAACTTTTTAAAAAACTTAACTTTTCATTAAAAAAAAGAAAAAAAAGAATTTTAAGTAAAAAAGATTAACAGTCTAAAGACAACTATAAAACAATTTCTCAAGTCTCAAAAACAAAAACATGCTTTGTTTCAGAAAGGTTAGGAGAGAGGCTTTAAAAAACATTTTTTCTAAAACAAAAAATAATTAAAGGATTGGATAATTTTTCTTGAACTTTCTCTTTTTTTGTTTAAAAATCGGTCCTTTTATACACACAAATCTCTCAAAATTAAGAGATGCAAGTTAAACCTCGCCTATGTACTTCTTTAATGTATAAAGTGCGGATTTTAGCTTCGAAGCATTTTGGTTAGTACATTTAAATTTTAGTTAGCTATACTTAAACAAAAAAGCAGGAGAGAAAAGAGCTCAATAAAAAAACAATCTAAACGATATATCACCCAAACTAACAGTCCTGCCCAAAAGGGTTCACAATGCTAAAATAAAATTTCCAAAAATTATCCAATCCTCAAAATAACAAAAACAAAACAAAAACTATTTAGGAATACTTAAAACAGCTAAAATATTAAATATATATAATTAGTAGTTAAATATATAATTTTTTACATAATAGAGAGGACTTAAAAACGAATTTTTTGCTTCGAAAAAAAAATTTTTAAATTTTCCTTAAAATATCGTTGACTAAAACAAAGAAAAAAAAGAAAAAAAATATTTTTTAAAAAAACATACGTATTTAATTAATTTGCCAAAAAAACAAAAGAAGAAGAAGAAAAACACAGCAAATATTGCTGAATTATTTTTGGAGTTGTTAATACATTTTTTAATTTTTTTTAACCAACAAAAAAGCCGCGCTGCTGTTGCAAAACATAAAACAAAACAAAAATAAAACTAGTAGATTTTTTTATTAAATCAAATTTGTTGATATTTGTACATGTAGAGACGATAATCTTTGCTGAAAAAATAACATTATAGAGGAAGGAAAATTTTTTTTTGAAAAAATCATCAAATTTTAACAGAAAAATACTCTCCATTCGCCCACTCATTTTTAGCCCAAACCCTCTCAATTTTCAAACATTTCAGAAAAATTTTGTATCATTCAAAAGCTTTAATCATAGGGATTCTTTTTCCTAACGAGGACATTATGTTACAATCACTCTGCAGAAAGTTAGAGATGGATAAAGACCAAAAATCACAACTGTGTGCACTTAAACGGCTCTAACTTTTTAAATAATGAACTTATCAAAACGATCTTGCCAGGAAAAATAATCCTCACATTCAAAGCTTTCGATTGATATAAAAATTATTCAAATAGGATAAGATTGAACTAAGTTATGGCCAAAAATAGGCTCTCAGGGTGGGACTATGATTTCATGGTTGAATGGTTAACGTGTCAGACATTGCCAGGGTAGGGGGCGCGGGTTCGAACCCTTTTGATGGGCAACATTTTTTATATATTGTCTAAAATTAAAATAAATGTTTTTGTATTAGTTTGTATTAAAAGCGGCCGATATACAGAAAAATTATGAACAAAAAACCCCTCAAAAGCCCCCTCCAGAAAATGACCCCTCCCCAAGAAGTTTAATAGAAAAAATCAATTAAATAAAAACCTAGCCAAAACAACAGAATCTTCAAGAAGAGCAACATCATAACACTGTGCATGTTTAACTTTTGATTCACAAGCACCAATTAAAGTTCCATCCTTTAAAAAATAAATTAAATTTCGGAAGAAAATTTCCAAAAAAAAACCTGTGAAAATATAGTCAAATTAAAATTGTTGTGATTATCAGCTACAACAATTTCTCCTTTCGAATTTATTCCAACACCTATAGGATAGTTAGTAATACCCTCTCCTCCAATTTGACGAACAAATTGTCCTTCATAATTAAATACCTAAAAAAATAAAAAAAATTTTTTTAATGTAAAGGGTCATCGTCAATACTATATATACAAGGTTTTTTTCAGATTTTAAATCAAATATCAACGAATTTTTTCATTGCTATAATCATCCAAAAGGTCTCCCAAACTTTTATCCGCAAAAATATGCCAAAACAGAAAATTAGGTCGTTTTGGTGTAGTGGGATAATTTTTGATTTTAACAGAAAAGGGGGTCAAGGTTCGAACCCTTTCAGCGAAAAACAATTATTTTCCTCAAAAATACCCGCAAAAATATGCCAGACAAGAAAATTTGGTCATTATGGTGTAGTGGGATAATTTTTGGTTTGACAGAAAAGGGGGTCAAGGTTCGAACCCCTTCTCTGAAAAACAATTATTTTCCTCCAAAACAATTATTTTTACACGAAAAACTAGCCATAAACCCCCCAAAAAAATTTAAAAACAAACTTTAATAGAATGTGCCCGATTGTCACTAATCAAAATTTCCTCTTTTTCTGTTGTACAAACACCATTAGGAAATTCCAAATAACCTTTAAAAAAATAAAATTATAAAAAAATATTTTTAACAGAAACTAACGTGAACAACTAAATTTATGAAGTATATTCCCAAACATGTCAAAAATTAAAACACGCATAACTTTACATTCAACAACAACAATACGTCCTTTGGAGTCTACACAAACACCTCGAGGATGTTGCAAAATTTGTGCTCCAAATTTACGAATAAATTGGCCATATTGATTGCTAAAAATGAAGAAAATTTAGAATTTATTCGAAGAAACGACAATTGAGGACACGACATTTGAGGACAACGACATTTGCGAATTAAAAAGTTTGTCCGCAAAAATCTGTCAGTCTGCAAGTTTTTGGCCGCAAAAAAATTAAAATCAAAAAATTAAAAAAAACAAACTAGATTTGGATTTGATGAGTAGGTGAACGTTCAGTAACTACAAAATCGCCGGTAACACAATTAACTGAAACACGGTTTGGATAGAGCAATTGGCCGTCTAAAAGATGATTTTTAGAAAATTTTTAATTGAAACAAAAAATACCACGTTTGCCACATTCCCCAAACTGAAATTTGAAACGTCCTTCGCGATCAAAGACCTTAAAAAAGTTTAAAAAATTTTTTGAAGTAGACGAAAGGTAGGGGGTATGTTTCAGAATCGCCGTTCCGTTCCCGGTCAAATTTTGGGCCATAACTTTTTTTCCATCTTAACGGGCTTAATCATAAAATTATTTTGTGTCGCAGAATCGATATGATTAGATCATTCTACAAAAAGTACAAGTCGAATAAAGCGCGTACTCGTGATTTTTGAGCTTCATTGGACTGTATCCTTTTTTCTAATGATCTGATCAAAATAGCCCCTTTCTAGATAAAATACTCAAAGCTTTCAATTGATATAAAAAATAGTTAAATCGGCCAACAATCAAAAAAAGCTATGGGCCAAAATAAGACCCTGAAAATGAACAACGATTCTAATAAAAGAGGATACTCCTAACCTCCTTTCCAGCTCCCAAAGAATTTCAATTAAAATTAAAAATTTACTTGAATTCGATGATTGTTTGTATCAGCAACAATAATATCCAATTGTGCATTAACAGCAACACCGCTAGGTTCAGTAAATTGTCCTTCCATAACTCCAAATTCTCCAAATTTACAATTATATGTCATCTTTTGTCGTTTAATTTGAGAACGTGGAGGATATAAAATTGGAACAGAAAGGTCCATATCTCCTCCTCCTTTTTGTAAAGAATTTAAATTTCCTCCTCCATCAACTCCAAAAACGCTCAAATCGTTCAAATCTTGAGAAAGTGCCAAAATGTCATTTGGCAACCACTAAAATTTTAAAAATAAGTTTTAAGTCAAATAAGTGGTATTAGATTATCTCCCCACTTTCCTCTCCTTTTTTCTCCTAGAAAGTACAACATGGTCATAGGCGTCAAGTAAATTTATAGTGCTTGTGAAGGTGGTAGGGAATATGTTTCAGAATAGCCGTTTCGTTCAGTGATACACGCGGCTAGTGATACACAAGGTGTGCCAGTTTCGCTAGTGTTTCGTGTTTCGCTTTTTGAATCTGTTTCGGCACACCCTCCTGATACACACACTCAACATCGGTATGTATTGATTATAATGGCAAAAGCTGGTGATTCACTGCAAAGATCAGAACAAGGGTATCATTACTTGTCTTTGAGCATTTTGTAAATTTTATGGAAAAGGAGAAAAGGATTGAGCAAAAGAAAAAGGGAAATTCGGGGAAGATAACCGGAAAGTACAATGTAAAATTTAAAACACAAACCTTATTATCATGTTGTCCCCCAAATCCATTAGTTCCAGTAGGTGCTGATGTAGCCAAAATACCCCCTCCTCCCCCTCTATTTCCTGTAGGCGTTCCAAACAAATCGGAAGAATCAAAGCAATGCCCTCCTCCTCCATTATTTCTTATTTGAATAGAACCTCTGTGATGTTGACCTGTTGGTGTTCCTGTTCCTCCCAGAGAAATTGAAGGGTTCCCGAATCCATCAGAAAATCCTCTCGGCGATTGATAACGATTGAGAGGTGGGGAATTGATCAAATTTTGATTGTTCTGTTGATTAATCCAAGCCCCTCCAGCCCTCAATTGATTAAATGGTGTAATTATAGCTTGTTTAGCTTGTTGTAAATCTGGCACTCCTAAACGAATTTCACACGTTTCACTACGTAAGAGTTGATTGGCATCCGCATTGAATGATAAAAAGCCTTGAAGACGGGAGTCCAAAAGGGGTTTGAAGACAATTACCTTTTAAAAAATTTTTTTTAGAATTTCAAATAAAAATTATTAAGAAAACCTCAGTAGGGGAAGCATATTTAATTAAACGTTGTGTAAATTCAATAGTTTGCGACATTGATTTTGTGACTTTTTCCATTTCTTTTTCAAGCATTTTTAATTGTAACTTGAAGAAAAAAATCAAAAATTAATTAAAGAGTTCATGTCAAGGACCTGGCCATATCTTTTCCTAGATTTTCCCTCAAGGACCCACAACATTCAAAAGCCGCCCGGTTTTCTGTAGAAAGGGCGTAGTCAGGGTATCGATTTCAGAGGGAGAGGCTAAAATATTGGGGAGGGATATAGCTCTAAAATATGAAAGTAAATCTGGGGAGCGCTATAGCTCTCTCAGACCCGTGACTACGCCCGTGCCTTGTAGGGAGTTCAGGGCTTTTAGTTTACTTGGGCAAAACATTAAATTAAAAAAACCTGTTTATATCCATAAATTCCTTCCAATTCTGTATACAATCCTTTTTGTGCTTCATGAACTGTTTGTACAAGAAAAGAGAAAGTATCGTCTATAGTTTGTTTTGCATGTTGAAAAGATGTATTTAAATTGTTTTGGTCTTGATTTATTAATTGAAACATTTCATTCAATCCATTTTGTTTTATACGAGCCTCGTTTAATAAACGCTTTAAAAAATAAAAAATAAATTTTGTTGTTTGGGAAACTCAAAAAAGCTCCAAAAAGTTTTTAAAAAGAGCAAAAAGAAGAAATACCGCCATAAGGAATCGAACCTTTCACTTAAGACTTGAAAGTCCGAAACGATACCACTACACCACAACCGTTGTTGGAAGAAATACGAAAATTACTAATTATCTTCAATTAACACGAAGAAAATAAACATGTTTTTAGGCCAATAAATGCGAACTTAAGTATGAGCTCGGGAAATAAAGTTCACAAAAAGTTTAAAAACTCAAGTAACAAGTTTAAAACTAAAACCTATATTTAAAAAATAAATTTAATACCTCCATCATTCCAATTTGTTTATCCGCAACATTATCAATTTGTTCAACTTCACATCCTTGATGTTCTTGGATACATTCACGACAAATTGCTTGTTGACAGAATTGACAAAAGAGAATTAAGGGTTGTTGACGATGCTGAAAAATTTTTTTATTAAAATTATCACAAGTATAGTAAGAATAAATCCTTCAACCTGCTGACAGTTCTACGCTTACATGCCCAGGAATAAACCCCCTTTGTCCCCCCCCCCCCCTTTGACAAAAAAAGAGAACTAGCTTAACACAAAAACATTCCAGGTCAACCCGGCCCGCTATACGATGATGCCCTTCTACCTACTCGCCACTTTTCCCATGGAAGGACAAAACCCAGATGGTCGCCCAGAAGCTCAAAACCCAGAGGGCATTTGACCTTCTGGGTCTTTCTGGGGTAGACCTTCCCTATGTTCGCGAATTGGGAAAACTAAAAAAAACAGGAGAACCCCCCAACTTCTAAAAATTAGAAATATTCCAAACCTCTAAACACATACAAACATTTCCTCCAATCCTTCCATTTTTGTTTACTTTTGTCAATTGTTGTTGTTGAGGGGAGTCACCCCCTCCCCCACTGTCAAAGCTTGGCAACAAAATATCATTTGGAGGATGACTTCCTTCAAAAACTTCCAAAGCAGGCCAGCCATTGTTTGATTTTAAACTGCCAAAACCGAGGTCCTCGCTTTGCTGTAAAAGATAAAAATTTGATAAAACCCCCCAAAAATTTACTCGAAAAATCAAACCTCGCTATAAGGAGAAGTCCCCAAAGACTGTACAGCATTTTCTAGTCCATAATCAGAAAGTAAACCTTCAATGCCTAATTGTGGATTTAATTGAGTTTCTTGACAACAAATTTGACAAATAATTGATTGTGGTTTGTTTGTAGTTGTTGATATTTCTTGTTTAATTTTTATTTGACGTTCCAAACAATTTTTACAAAAAGAATGAAAACATGCCAAAACTTTTGGTTCTTTATATAACATTTGACAGAGGGAACATTTAACCATCTATTAAAAAATTGAAAAAAATTAAAAAAATTGAAAAAAATATTTAAAAATATCTAAAAAAATTTAAAAAATATTCTAAAACCCATTTTATACTTATTAAAGACTAAAAAAGTCTAAAAGAAGCCTAAAGAAAAAAGAAACATTGATGGGACTCGAACCCACCCCTAACACTAGGGGAAGTCTAGAACACTAACCACTCTGCCACAATTGATGTTATTAGCTTATTCTAAATTAAGCCTTATCTTCAAAACTAAAAAATGCTTTAATTAACATTTTTAATCTTGGAGCTTCCCACTCAATACAAAACCCCCAATTAACATTTAAAAACAAAAAAATTGAGTAAAATACCCGCTGAACCATAGAAGCAGGATTTCCTGTCAAAAAGTTGTGTTGATGTTCCATAAGTTGGTGCTGGTCATTTGGATGAGGTATAAGCGAACGATCGACCGCGGCAATGTCAAAATCTAAGCCTGAAAAGGAGGAAATTTAAAAAGAAAGTTAAAAAGGAAGCTTTTAAGCTTCAAAAAACCCTCAAAAACCCTCAAAAATTCAAAAAAAACCTCTAATATGTCCACCCCCACCACCTCTAATTTCAATTCCCCCAACAGGCGATTGGCGTACTATAGAAGCTAGCATTGACGAAAGCGGGTCAGTTTCAACAGAAGAGGAAGTGCCTAGAGAATTTTCACCAGAATCGGTGATTTCCTCTGAAAAATGATTTTAAATTAAACATAAAAAAATTCAAACCAAAATTCCAAAGCATTTCTTCTTTTTACAAATAGTCTAAAACAAGAAGTAAATTCGTCTAGTTAATTTAATTTAATAAAAATTATTTTTTTTTCTTTGGCTCTGAAAAAATTAAAAAATTAAAAATTAATTAGAAAATTAATTAAATAACGAATTATAAATGAGGAGAAAAAAATTTTTTTCTCAAAAAATTTTTTTTTTTCACAGCAGCGCCACGTGAATTCCCCTAAACATATGAGGAAATTTATTTAAATTATTAAATATTTAAATATATTTTCTAATTTTATTTAATCCATATTGGAGGGATAAATTTAGAAAAATTAAAAAAAAATTAAAAAAAAATTTTTTTTCTGTCGATAAATTTAATTAGCTAAAATATATTTGTACAACGACCACATACACGGAATTAAATTAGAAAAAAAATCTTTCTTTTTTTTATAAATTATTCTAGTAAATACATTTTTTTAATTCTATTTTGGAATGCTTAAAAAGAATTTTTTTCTAAGAATTCCCCCTACAAGCAAAAGACAGACAAAAATGTCTAAAACAAAAATTCAAAATTTCAACTAGGGAAAATAGTGTGGAGATTGAAGAGAGACAGAGGAAAGGTTAAAGACGGCAATGGCTCATCTACCCAAGAAAATTCAATTTTTTAAGGGAAATATCGTGAAAATTGAAGAGACAGAAGGAAAAATTATTTTTTGTCTCAAGATGACAATAAGTCCTTAGCCTAGAAAACAAAAAATTCCTTGAAATTTCTGAGGGAAAATAGTGTGGGAATTGAAGAGAGACAAAGAAAAAATTATTTTCTAGTCTCAAGATGACAATAGATCCCCTTAGTCTAGGAGAAAAAATTTCGTTAAATTTCGAAGGGAAATAGCACGGAAATTGAAGAGAGCGAAACAGAAAAAATTATTTTTAGTCTCGAGACAGCGGCCCTCTACCCAAGGAAACAAAAAAAATCTTTAAAAAAGAAAAATGAAAGGACAAAAAAGGGGGAGACAAAAAGGAAGACAAAAAAAAGGTTTTTATGTGTCCAAGTCATAAAACCAATAAATTTTTTTAAATTCCCCATTTTATGCTGACGGTTCAAGTCTTCCTTTAAGCCTTAAATGCGTGTGAGTTGTCTTAAGGCTTAACTTTTCTCCCTTCTTTCCCCCTTCATTTTTGCCGATACAAAAAATGAAGAAAATATACCTCGTTTCATTGACAGCCCTAAAAATCCAAAGCTTTTTTTATCTTCACAAAAAAGCGCAAAAATTGGAAATCGATTCCCCTAGTCCCAAAATCTCTTAGTTATATATAAAAATATATATTAGCGGCAAGCGCGTTAAATCCCCCCTTACTCCCCCCAACAACGACATATTTTGTGCTTCCTCCCCTAAAAATTTTTTCCCTCAGTTTGTGTGTATATGCTCTCTGTGTGTGCGCTCGCCCGTCCCGCCTTTTCTACATACCCCCAAAAAACCATGTGATTTTTCGTTGCCGCAGAGCTACTCTACTACTAACTATTAAAAAAAGCTAGGCGAAGTATAAAACGCCCAAAGGGTTAGGGAAAATTTAAAAAAAAAACTAAAAATGTAAAAATGAAAAAAATGTGAGAGCGTAAAAAGTGTGGCGGCAGTTTTTATGTGTTATGTCTTTCATTGTCTCTCCTCAATTTATATAGTCTCTAATTTCAATTTTTCTCTAATTACTTCAGTTTCTACATGGAAAAGATAATAATTAAAATATTAAAAATAAAAATGTAAAATAGTTGTGAAAAATACGAAATCTCTAATTTTAAAAAAGGTCAGAAGGAGAAAATATTTAAACATGTCTAATTAAATGTCAAAATGTAAACTCGCGTAAAATAGGACAAATAATCTACTTTTTGGGATCAGATTTCAATAAAAGGTACAAAGTTGAAACATTTTTATCCATCTTTTTTGACTGTTGTCCTAAGGCAGAAAGAAGAGTCCATCATCAATTTGGCCCTATAAGAAAATATTTTTATTTATTTATAAGAGAATAACCATCACTTTTTTTCCTCTTTTATTATTTTTTTAATTCTCCAATTTCTTCTCTCTTTCCTTTCCTCCTCCCGTCTTCTCCACAGCACGTTCTGTCAACGACAGCATCAAGTGGAACAAAGATTTTAAACTTGCTTTTTTTCTTCTTCTTCTTCCTCTTCTCTCTCGACTGGCTTTGTTATTGTGTTGTTATTGGTCGTTTTCCCTCGTACCAGGACAATACACCGTCCGACAAAATACCGTCCACTTATTTGAGTCCACACACCTTGGGGCAGACACCATTTAAAATAAAATTTAAATCCAGAGGGAGTATGGTACCAAGGCCTAATAGTCTTAGGACAAATCCAATTTATTATCTGTAAAATCTACTGTCTTTAAATACTCTAACATCCTAGTCGGTGTTTTGTTAGGACGGTGTTTTGTCCTCCCCACGCCCTAAACGGTGTTTTTGTTCGGACTGTGTTTTGTCCTTCTCACCCATTTTCTCCGTACCATCTCCTATCTCTTTCCTCCTTTCTTCTCTATTATTCACAAATTAGTACTACCCAAAAGATCAACAGGTCCACTAGAGTCTCAAAAATTAAAAAAGAATAAATTTTAAAATCTCGGACTCTAATGTCCAAAAATTTTATAATGTTTGTGTTAACCATTAAAAACACACAACAAACATATGGGAGGGTAGATTGATTATTTTCACGAGTGAACTCAAGCAGAGCGCTGCCTGTGAGTCCATTAACAATGTGAAAAAAAAAGAAAAAAAAATAATCGTTTATTTTAGAGAGGTCGAAAAGTAATAAAAATAAATAAATTTTTTTTTATTTATTTGTTTTTATGGGGCTCACAATTTAGAGAAGTAATAAACAAAAAATAAATAAATAAGGGGAAATTTTTTTTGGTTTAAAAAAAAAAAGAGAAAAATAAAATTCTTTAAAATGTGTACTATTAAAAAAAAAAGTGTTAAGTACATATACTCTTTTGGTATAAATTTTAACAATTTGACTTGGAGGTATGTTCGAGGTTTAGGATTTTTTCAAAAGGAAGGAACAGATACCCACCCTCAACTTTTTTTTTTATTAATTATCAGATTCAAAATAGGCGCACCCAGGGGATCAACACAAGCCCATTAAATCAACACAAGCCCCATTTCCGAAGCTTCCCTTTAGGGTCGTTCTGACGCGGGGATTAACAGAATCCTCCCATCTTTTTAGTAGAAAAGAGAGTTTTCTCTCTAATTCTTTAGTCAAGAAAAAAAATTTTTTTAACTGAGGTTTTTATCAATTTGACAAAAAAAAAAACAAAAAAAATGAAAAAATGTGTGTGTGTGTGTGTAAGAGTAAAATAAAATTGAATAAAATTGATATAATATGTGTATAAGTCAAAAAAGCAGCAAAGCAAGAAAAAAAATGAAGAATAAGAGAGAGTGTGTGGAGAGAGTGTATGGGGATAATGGAGAGACAACAATAAAAAAAATATTGGTACTTTTTGAATATACCCCTCTAAATTTGAGTTTCGGAGTTGTCCATAAACTATTAGAGTAGCTTCCCCGTCCCTCGACGATTTTTTTTTTGGCAAAAACCCCGACCCGAACCCCGAAGGCTCTACCCTGGCAAACCCCGATCCCCGACACCGAAGGCTCGGGAACTACTCTACTCAAGATGCCCATAATTGAGTCAACCCTGAAGATCTACATCCCAAAAAATTGACCTGAAGATCTATATCTCCTTCAATCACACCAAATCCATCGATATTCCCTTACAAAAGTTGTAGGTCTTCAGGGGTAGTCAGAGACACATGATGGTCTTATGGGTCTCATGAAATCAGAGATCCGTCTCCGACTTCCTTCCTTAATTCCACAACCATTTCCACAACCATTTCCATGTGGAAGGAGACTCTTGAACAACCATTTCCATATGGAAGGAGACTCTTGAACAACCATTTCCATGTGGAAGGAGACTCTTGAAGAGGATTTAATAAAAAGGGGTTCATCAAACTGAAGAAGAGAATGGAGAAGGGGGAGGGATATTCAAAGAGTACCATTATATATTTTTTTCAATTCATTTCAAATTTAATAAAATTAAAAAAATAATAATTTTCTTTTAAAGTATAGTAGAAGAATATCTACTTAAAACATTGGCCACATATTGAACATACCCGTTGTTGTTATTATCATTTTTATTAACATTTTTCTCCTTGGTTTCCTGTTGTAATTTTTGTTGAGTATCAAATAATAAAATTTTTGTATTTTTCTTAAATGGAGTCTTTCTTTTTCCATTCCATGGTAAATTTATTCTAGCACATACAAATGTACTTGAATCATTATTATTATAATCTTCATTAAAATCGTCATCATCTTCGTCAACAAGTTCAACACTTGCAAGTCTTCCTCCACCTCCACCTCTTTTATTATTATTTCCACCATATTTTTCTGTTAATTGTGGATGTGTTAATTGTAAAAATACGTCGGGATTGATATCCTTTAAAAGAAGAAAAAAATTTTTTTAATTATTTTTTTAATTAATATTTTTTAAATTTATTTTCCTATTTTTTTAGGCTAGAATATTATAGTTGCAATAATTCTGTTTAAAAAGTTCTGTTTTTTTTTAAAATTATTTAAAAACAGAATATTTTAATTCTGATATATAATCTAATATTAGAGAAACAACAATGCCAGACATTTTTAAAAAAATCAGAATGTGCAAATTCTGATTTTAGAAAATCACAATTTGTAAAAATCAAAAATCAAAATTAAAAGAAAGAAACAGAAAACCAGAATTTACAAATTCTGGTTTTATAAAATGAGAAATTACAAATTCTGATTTTCAAAAGTCAGAATTTGTAATTTATGATTTTTAGAAAAATCAGAATTTGTAAAATTCCGCGTTTTAAAATCAGAATTCTGATTCTGATTTTTAGAAGAATCAGAATTTGTAATTTCTGATGTCAGTAAATTAGAATTTGTAATTTCTCATTTAAAAAAATCAGAATTTTTAATTTCTGATTATTAAAAAATCAGAATTTGTAATTCCTCATTCTTAGAAGAATCAGAATTTGTAATTTCTCATTTTAAAAAATCAGAATTTTTAATTTCTGATTATTAAAAAATCAGAATTTGCAAATTCTGATTTTTAGAAAAATCAGAATTTGTAAATTCTTATTTTAAAAAACCAGAATATGTAAATTCTGATTCTTAGAAAAATCATAATTTGTAAATTCTGCTTCCTAGAAAAATCAGAATTTGTAATTTTTGAGTTTTAAAAAATCAGAATTTGTAAATTCTTATTTTTAAAATAAAATATTAACAGAATTATTTCCCCTTGTAAAAAAATCAGAATTTAAAATTTAAAAATAAATTCTGATTTTTAACCAGAATAAACAATACACCATACATACCTCATCAATAGAAATTGGTCGAATAATTCTTTTATTAAAATTATTATTTAATAAATTTCCATTATTATTATAAATTGTTGTAGCCGTCGATGTTGATGGACGTAAATAAGTTGTAGAAGAAGAAGATAAATAACCATGTGGATCCAAATAATTATTTGCCACAGAATTTATTATTTTTGGGGGCTGTTGCTGTTGAGGGGTTGTTGTCGAAAAAGACGATGATTGACCACCTCCCAATTGGATTGTTGAAAAATACCCAATTTGATTTTCATTTACTAAACGTTTTTTAATTTGTGGATGAATATGTTGGTTGAGAGGTTGTTGCTGTTGACGAACATTATTTTTATTTATTTTTGAATATATTAGAGTCTTTTTATTTTTTAAATTATTTTGTGATTGTTTTTGTGATGATGATTGTTGTTGATGTGCTGCTAATGTTGTTGATGATGTTAAAATATTTTGTATTTTTGTTTTTAATGGTGTTGGTGGTTGTGGTTGATGTGGTTGTTGTTGTTGTCCATCTGATGAAATTGAAGATCCTTTAAAATAAATTAATTTTTATTTTTAATATTGTGGCAGCAGGAGTTAGTGTTTGGAAAATTTTTAATTATCCAAAACCTAAGAGAATCCTAATCAGTAAAATTACTTTAAGAAAAAAAAAGTTGAAGCCTCTTCTTGGATCCAAAGTTGCGAGTTTGATAATTTAAATTTTTTAACAACCTCCGGTTTAGGAACACCTTTTAGTGTACTCATATAGACTTTGGGCAGTTATAAAAGATTTTCTAAACAGAATTTTCAATATGAAACACAACCAAACTTTTTTCCCCCAAACCGGTCCCTTCCCAGTAAAAGAAAGTGTCAAAAAAAAACACTCTAGATATTCCGATATTCGTTGCTAATGTTTCGAGTCATTCAGAGAAAATAGGAGGCGAAAAAGTTGGGTTTAAGGTAGGATTTCGAAAAAATTTATCGGACGAGTATCAGTTCAAAAGCCTTGGTTTCTGGTATCGGAGAAACCCCTTATATTACTGATTCCTAGCATACAAAGGGCAAGAACCAAAAATATTTAATAAAAAACCTCTCGATATTCCAATATTTGTTGCTGCCCCAGTTGAAGTTGTTGTAGAAGAAGAATTATTATTATTATTAACCATTTTAATAGCAATTTTTCTTCCCAAACGTTTCTGCCTTTCAATTTCTTCCCTTTCTTCTTCTTCTTTAATTTTTCTTTCATATTCTTCAAAATAACAATTTTTAAATTGCTTCAAAATATCAATTATTGTATTTGGAAGTGGATAAAAAATTGCTGTTGAACTGCTCGAATTTGATGTTGAACTGCTCGAATTTGTTGAAGAAGAAACAAAATTTTGTTTTCCAATTAAATGCATTGTTGAAGGTATTAACATTGTTTTTGGCCCTCTTTTAGATTTTGTTAAAACAATTAAATCAACCATTTCTGTTACTAATTGTGAAACTATACGTTCATTTTCGTCTATAGGATGTTCAATTTGTTGTAGCCACTAAAAAAAAAAATTTGAGGGAAAAATTATTTTAAAGGAAATGGGAAAAAATTGGCTCTACTCCAGTTCATGAGTCCAATCAAAAGGACTAGACAAAGAAGGGCCAGATAAAAAATCCAATTATTTTTGATTGGACTCATAAACTCGAGTAAAGCCAAAGAATTAAACAATAATTTGCTAACCAAAGCTATCTCCTACAAATATTCCCCTCCCAAAAAAAGACAAAAACGCAAGAAGAAAAAAAGAGAGAACAGGGCATATCGAAGTCATAACCATCCCAAAAAAGTCCAAAATACCATAAAAGAGGAAAAATGAGAGGGTTTAGAAAAAATAGACACAATCCCCACATTCAATGGCAGTTATCCTTCATGATTAGGGTTGTTGGGTTTTTGGAAAATCTTCGAATACCCAGAACAAAAATCCTCTGTTTGTCTTTCTGTTCCAACAGGCCCATAGCCAGGGGTGGTTTTTGATCCCCCATCTACCCCCAAAAATTTTTCCAGGTTATGGGTCTGTCGTCCAACAACCACATACACATACCCCCCCAAAGCTGCAAAAATGCCAAAAAATAGCTAATAGTAAGGATCAACGAAAATTACTCAAATCTTAGCTAGCTTATCCCCCAAAATTAAAAAGTTTAAAAAACCTTATTTCTCTTTCCAACACATTTTTCAATCAAATCCGTATCAAGACGAGCAAATTTTTCTTTAAATACTTGTCTTTGATCCAAACGCAAAGCATCCCTTCTCATAACATTTAATCTCTGTATTTTTTCGCCGTTTTTGATTGGATCAATTTGGACAGGATTTGCTAAAGAAAAAAGAATTTTAAGGCCAAAGAAAAAACGGAGCACGCCGCAATACCAAACCCCCCAAAAACTGCAAAAATACCAAACTGGAAAAATAAAAAGGACATGTGTGTATCATGCTTACGTCATAAGCCTTCTTCGGTCTTATTTGGAGTCTCTGGCTTATTTTCTTCCGCCTCCCTCTTAAAATTCGGGTGGGTCAATTCCTGATATATAGGTATGTTCTAGAAAGCGGCCTGGGGTTTTACTTGACTAGGGGTTTTACTGGCTGTTAGAAATTCACATTTTGATTTTAGGCGTATCTTTTGGGCTTTGGTATTTCGGCATTATACCCCTCAAAAATAAAAAAATTTATACGTTGTTCAGCTAAACGAATTCCTTGTCGAACAATTTTTGAATGTTTTTCTCGATAAATAAGTCGTTGTTCTCGTATTGCTGCCTGACAACGCTTTATGGCTCTACAATATTCGTTGAGAATTTCCTTTTTGTTAAAAATACCAGCATTTCTTTAAAAAAAATTAAAGATTAGAAAATCTAAAAAAATTGGGGAAAAAAACGAATTTTATACGGGTATGGAGTTAAAACTTAAAAAATAATTTTTTCTCAACAAGCTGTTAAAAAATTAAAAACTTGGGTCTTAACCATAGAAACAACCTATATAAAACCATAAGAATCCATTTTTGGTTTTAATATAACGTATTTCCTCTAATAGAATGGCCAGCCATTTTATTTTTCAATCATCCTCCAGAGGGCCATTCAATTAGAGGGGGTCGTTTAAATGGAGAGGGACATTCTAATAGAGGAAATATTCGTTATAAGCAGCCAAAAAAGCCTGATCGAGAAACAAACACTATCCGCTATGGGATGGGCCAGGTTAAGAAAAATCCAAAGATGGGCCTGCTTAAAAAAATCCAAGGATGAGTCTGATAAAAAAATCATGGGGTGGGCCTGATTAGGAAAAATCATGGGGTGGGCCTGATTAAAAATAATTGGGGGATAGGCCTGATTAGGAAAAATCATGGAGTGGGCCTGATTTAAAAAATCCCGAATTTTGGACCAAATTTCATGAAACCCGACACATCTTTAGTCCTAGCGATATTGAATTTTAATTTAAAAAGAAAAAAAAGAAAATTTCACAAGAAACCTCAAAGGATTTTCATCCCCATCAAGCCTGCTTTCACAATATAACGGTTCATAAATAAATGGAAAGTCTGTTGGCACGCGAGAATCAAGAGTTTCATCATCGTCAAAACTTAAAAATTTTTTTAACAAAACTTAAATTTCAAAAAAAACCTTATAAGTTCAAGAAATCCTTCGGTAATGTTAAAATTTGGGTCAAACAAATGCTTCGTTCTAAGCCCTTCTTTTCTGATACGTTCAATATAGCCTTGATGCTAAAAATAAATTTTTTTATTATAAATTAAAGAATGAAGCCGATCAGCTCAATAAATGTCAGAAGATAAGAATTTTTAGACAACTTTTGACATAAATCCACAATTATATTTTTGTCGCGAAATGGCCGCAAGAGAAGTGAATAATTTTAAAAAGTCCGGGCTTAGAGCTGGAGTTTTATTGTTCTGGACCAGATCGTGAATTTACACAGAAAGTTCAAAAAATAGGAGTAGTTCAAAGCTCCTGGTCAGGGTGAAGGAAAACAACAGACCCAGCTCGGTATATGAACAGAATTATAATTTAGCTTATCTAGATTCATTGTACCCCCAACCCCAAGGCAACAAAAACCCGAAAAGATTTTGAAAAATATAACTCTCCAAAACCAATTCGAAAAATTGGAACTATCCATTATCCCAACCTCTTTTTGCGGCTAATTTTTGAGGACACAATTTTAACCAACGACCAGACTTTTCCTTCGAGCAAGCTAGATTACATCAAAAACGAAAGTAACAATATATAAGAAAAATAACAGAAAAATAATATAGAGGAAATGTCCTCAAAAAGTCACAAGAACGGGTAAAAATAACGGAAAGTAACAAAAAAAACCCCTTCAAAAAACCTCAAAACCAACCTCATTACAAAATCCAAAGTCTTTCAGCTCGTCAATAGACTTAAAATTTTGGCATCTCAATCTAGTCCTATTGCTAACATATTCACATTGTTTAAGATTGTTTTGTTGTTGCTGAAGATGAGTACTACATGATTGAATAGATTCATCATCAACCATAGAATATTTGCCTTTTTTAACTGGCGGATTCATTTCTAGCAAAAAAATTGTCTAAAAAATAAAGGAAAAATAATAAATAAATGACAAAAAAATAAGAAAAAATTCAAGAAAGAATAAAGGTTCTGGTAGAGAAAAGTGAATAAAATCGTGATCCTAAACGGCTAGGCCTGGAATTCTGGGATCGGTTTATTGTTATGGAACCATTGCTGGGTATAGCTCCGGGACTAGGCCGGCTCCGGCGGAGCCAAGATTTTGAAATACCCGAAACCGGAGCCGACAAATGCCCAATACCCAGCACTGATCTTGACCTTAGAGTTACAAAAAATGCCTCACGAAAGAAAATTCCCCTCAAAGAGAAAATTTTCCTCCTACTGCCAGACTCAAGTGGCAACCCTGTCAAAAGAATCCCAATTTTGTCACAATTTTTTGAGTAAACGATTTTTAGAGTAAAAAAGGGTACCTAAACCTGTCTAAATTAAAATAACAAAAAATAAAATTTTTAAAAGGTTTCAGTTTTACTTTCTGCAAAACAATATACACACACATATTATGTAAAAATAAACGCATTTTATTGATTTTAGAAGGAGAAAAGTGGAGTTAAAATTGCGAATGACTAGTGAAGAAAAATTAAAAATGGCAGACCTTTACTTGAAGAAACGCGAAAAGAGTGTAGAAAAAAGGAGAGACAGTTGGCAAAAATAAAAAGAAAGTTACGAAATTAGGCGAGATGTTAAAATGGTAAATTTCAAAATGTCAAAATGTAAATTATTTTTCATAACACTAACAAAAATTAAAAAAGAATGCTGGACGAGAGGAGAAAAAGAAAAAGAGGATTTTCAGTTCATAAACGGACAAAATGCCACTAGACATAAATATTATAAAATGTCCAATCTGACAAAATGCCACTAGAGCAAAAAATAGACAAAATGCCACTAAGCGTGAATATTACAAAATGATCGGACAAAATGCCACTAGACTTAAATATTACAAAATGTCCAACCGGACAAAATGTCTAACGACAAAATGCCCAGAAAATAAAATGGTCAAAAATGCAAGCTAGGCTATTTGAGTCTCCATAAAATTTTTCTAAATTATTTTGTTTGATTAAAAATTCTAATAGTGACCCTAGTGATATAACATCATTAAACCAATTTTTTATCATACCAAAACTATTTTATACAAAAATTGACTAAAAAATATATTGCATTTTAAATAAAAAAAAATGATTTTTAAAATAAATTTAAGTAGTATTCTTTGATCTTTAAACAAATGAAGGGTGTTAATTAAAAGAAATTAATGTTTTAATTTTAATCACAGAATAAAAATAAAAGGAATTTTTGGAATTAAATAGTGTGTACAATTAAAAAAATAACTAAAAAAAATTTTTTTTTAAAGCAAAAAAAATAGAAAAATAAAATGCTCATTTTGAGGGGGAAGAGAGAAAACTTTTTGATCAACTCAAATTATTTATTTTTTTCTTTACGAGTTTAATAGGCGAGTCTGCGGGATTAAAGGGGATCACTATCCACTTTAACACTCAAAATCCTCGATATCCCCCTTTATCCCTCCTAGTTCCTCTTTACCTCCTTTAAATCCTCCGATTAGACTTGTAAAGAAATAAAAAGTAAAAAATTGTGTTGATCAAAAAGTTGTAGGTCTTCAGGGTAAATAGGTCTTCAGGGTTGATCCCATTTATTTAATTGTCAAGAAAAAAATAAAACTTTAAATAATCCTCTTATTAAAAATATATTTTGGAAAAATTTATTTCAGTCAATATTAAATTTTTCTTGAGAGTTATAAAGAAGAATAGCACTTCTTTCCATCCATTTTTCTTCTTCCTCGTTTTTATTTGAAATTTTAATTTTGCTTCCACTTCCGTAAACAATTTCAGAAATTGTTGGTATATTACAAGAAAATTCAGCATTGTTGTTAATTATAAAATTAAAACTTGACGAACATTGTTTTTGTTGTTGTTGTTGAAGATGAATAGCTATTTGTTTTGGGCGAATAAACAAATTTGTTGGGGTAGAAAATGTTGAAGGCAGCATATTAAAACAAGCAAACACCTTAAAAATAGAGAAACAAGTTTTAAAATGTTTGGGAAAGATGTTTTAGAAAACAAGTTTTAGAAATCTCCCTCAAAACAAGTTTTAAGAAACAAGTTATCCGGAAAACAAGTTTTTAACAAGTTTATTTTGTTTGTTTAAAAGTTTTTCTAACTTATTTCCGGAAAACATGTTTTTCGTGTGTTTTTTCAAATGTTTTAGTTTCACAACATTGTTTTCCGGAAAATTAATTATTTTCCGGAAAGTTTGTTTTAAAACTGTTTCCTTTTAAAAACAACAAACATTCTCTATAAAATTGTTGACTGAATTTATTGTTGTTTCATTAATTTTTTGAATTCCCAATAATAATAAATTGTAAATGCCATCTTTGTGGAATGAAGCGAAGAGAGTGCAACAAAAATTGTCATTAACAACACAATCATTAGTAACACCATCACAACACGAATTAAAATTTGTTTGACATTGTCCCTCATCATTTAAATGAATACTCCAACAACGAACACAACAAAATTCTGCTATCAATGCAAATCCGTTAGTTGAGGATATATTTTGGAGGTGTTCACGTGTTTTGTCTCTAACCAAGTTTAATTGTTTGTCTAAAACCTGAAAGTAAACAATAAATGTTTCACAAAGCTAAAATTATTTTCCGGAAAACAAGTTTTATTTTTCAAATGTTTTAAGGAAAACAAGTTTGTTTTTAAATGTTCTAAAGAAAACAAGTTTTCCGGAAAACAGGTTTTATTTTATTAAATGTTTAAGTGAAATAAGTTTTCCGGAAAAAAAGTTTGTTTCTCAAATGTGCTAAAGAAAACAAGTTTGTTTTTAAATATTCAAAAAAAGCAAGTTTTCCGGAAAACAAGCTCTAATTCTAATTTTTAAAACCTTATTAATTCTTTCCAACGTCCATTCAGAAAAACATTCTCCACCAAATGGGTTGTTCAGTAGTCGAATTAATTCTGATCGTGAAAAACTTGTTCCTAACGAAAGCAACAACCTTTCCATGTTTATCGAAACAAGTTGTTCACTACTAAAACATGCAACTTGTTCATTTAATTTTTCTTTAGTTTTGTTTGTTTCTTCAACATTATTTGTTGTTCCCAACAAATGTTCGACGGAATGAAGGTTATGTTTATTGTCAATATTAGTTGTTGCTACATTATTATCTTCACTTGTTTCTTGTTTAATATTATTATTTTCTAATATTTTGTTGTTTAGGGATTTTTGTTGACAAAAGGAACTATTTAATTCTTGCTTATATTCCTCGTTTTTGTCTTCACAATGATTATTAGACTTTAAATGCCAATTATCGTTATTAACAGGCTTTCTATTGAGCATATTGAGAATATTTCTGAAAAAATTTTTTTTCAGAATTTAAAAAATATTTTTTTAATTTACATCAAATTAACCCCTTCCTTGTCTTTATTGCTAAATAAATGCTCATTATTTGACGGCAACCGATTAACAATTTGGGGTGTTTTTTGTTGTTGTTGTTGGGCATTTGCTAATGCTGCAGCCATCATAAAATGCAAACCTTGAAAAATTAGAGAAATGAAAAAAGTGAAATTAATTGCGCATGTTTTCTTAGACAATTATTCCAACATGTTTTTGAATTAATTTGTGTTCAACATGTTTTTAAAAACAAGTGTTTTATTCCAACTTGTTTTTCTCAACAAATGTTTTATTCCAACTTTGTTTTTCTCAAAAAATGTTTTCCAACTTCGTTTTTCTCAACAAAATGTTTTCAAACTTTGTTTTTCTGAACATGTTTTCCAACTTTGTTTTTCTCAACAAAATGTTTTCCAACTTGTTTAAAAACTAATTTTGTTAAAAATGTTTTGTTCATTTTCTATACAAACATGTTTTAATAAACTTGTTTTACTAAAACTTGTTTTACTAAAACTTGTTTTAATCCAACTTGTTTTAATTCAAGTTTATTTTTAAAACAAACCTTCAAATTGAGGAAAACATCCATTATTTTGTTTGTTGCAAAAACCATTTGTTTGTTGTTGTTGTTGAAAATGTTGTTGTTGTTCTTGTTTTATTTGTTCTTCGAAAGCTGAAGAATTATTAATATGTTGCTTTAACGGTGAAGGAGTTGTAGTAGACGAAGAAGGAGAAGAGGAATGATTTCCAACAGAAATTGAATGTTTTTGATTAAAATATAAACTTTCATCACTTTTTGATTCAATATCAACATTTTGTACAGAAAAAGGAAAAAAGGAAGAAACTGATCCAGGTGTGGAACAGCTAGAATCTCCACCACCACAGTCTGTCATTGTTGCCCCAAGGCTGGCAATCGCTTGCCCGTGCCCAGAAGCTATCCGTTCTCGGGTATATTCAGACTTTAGCCGTTGAAATTCAGCATATTCAGCTGTATGTTTTTTCAAATGACAAGCAAGTGTACTGGTATGTGGTCCTTTAAGTTGGTAAGTACAATTGCCCACGATACATCTAACAATAAAAATAAAATTACAACTTTGTTTTAATAAAAAATGTTTTTATAAAAACAAAGTTTAATTAAAATATTCCGAACATGTGTTTTAGAATTATTCCGAACTTGTTTTATTAAATGTTTTATTCGATGTTTTACTACATGTTCATTTTGAGTAAACATTGTTTTTCCAACTTGTTTTATTTAATGTTTGTTGAATGTTTTAGCAACTTGTTTTATTCATATTCCAACTTGTTTTATTCAATGTTTTAAATGTTTTTTTAATTAAACTTTGTTTTCTTCGTATACAAAACATGTTTTTACCTGCTTAAATTCTCTGCTTTATTGTATACAAAATATTTCCAAACGGGCGTTTGTTTGTTTGTTCCGCCCGAACGTATTGCTGCCGCTGGATTTCTATGCCAACTCCAATCATCCTCGCGAAACAGTTGCGCTGCTGGGGAAACTGCAACAGCAATAACTCCAGGAATTGAAGGTACTTGTCCAAGTGGAGAAGGTGCCATTAATGCTGCAGCAGTTGCGGCCGTTAAAAGGGATTTTGACCCACCAGCATTGCGACGTTTGGAGAGTGATGAGGAGGATGAAGTTGTACTTTCATTCTAAAAAACATGTTTTTATTACAACTTGTTTTAGCAACTTTTAATTTAAAAGTTTATTAAAACGTGTTACATTTGTTTTAATGTTTTCCAACATAAACATTTTTAAAACTTGTTTTAGCAACTTTTATTAATAAACTTATTAAAACTTGTTTTAATGAACATTTGTTTTAATGTTTTGTTACTTGTTTTTACTACAAAAATAATGAACAAGTGTTTGTCACAACAAGCAAAATGTTTTCCGGAAAAAGTTTATTTTTTTCAAACTTGTTTTATTCCCAACTTTGTTTTCAAACTTGTTTTGTTCTAAACTTTGTTTTAAAACATGTTTTATTCTTAACATTGTTTTTAAACTTGTTTTGTTTTACAACTTTAATTAAAACATTACTCTAACCGTTTTGTTGTCATTCTTTCTCTTCAATGCCCGTCTATTCAGTTCTTCGTCATATTCTTGTCCAATACTTCCAGTTATTAAACTTGGAGATTCTCCTCTACTTTCCTTTCTTTCTTCTACTATTAAAGAATTGAAACCATTTGTATTTGAAGAAAATTTAAATGGAGAAATGCTTTGTTCTCGTTGTTGAGGGATTGTAATATTGGAAGTTTCTTCTCCAACAAATTGTTTTTCCTAATTTAAATTTAATTTTTAATTTTAATTAAGGTTTGAATAAAACTAAAAAACACCCTCACTTCATTAACGCTAATAAAACCACGCAAAATTTTTGCTAAAACATCAGCGCTATTTGAAGTTGAAGCAGAGCTCATTTAAAAAATGTTTTGCTTAAAAATAAAAAAATAAAGTTTTGTTTACTGTTTTTGTTTAATTTGAAACGATTAAAACAAGTTTATTTTCCCCAAAACATTTCCCGAACATTTTGCCGAACAAATTGTTTTCCGGAATAGTTTTATCTTTCCTCAAACATTTTCCAAACATTTTGTTTCGCGGAAAAGTTTATTTTTCCTCAAAACATTTGTTATATTTAAACATGTTTTTAGCACAAACAAAGTTTATTAATTTAAACAATTACTTTTCGGAAACATTTCCCGAACATTTTGTTTTCCGGAAAAACTTATTTTTCATCATATTTAAACATGTTTTTTCACAAACTAAGTTTATTAATTTAAACAAATAATTGTTTTCCGGAAAACAATTGTTTGCGGAATGTTTTGAGGAAAAACAAACTTGTTTGTTTGTCAAACATTTGTTTAGAAAACATATTATTGTTGAATAAAAAAATTAAATAAAAAGATAAGAAGAGAAAATAAATTGTGTAAAATTTATAACACTTGATTACCCTTTTATTAATTTTACCTAGGTAAATAGCTTAAAAAGTTAAAGGTATCTTATGTTTACAAAAACACTTTTTTGCTTGCTTGCTTAAACAGTTTATAATTTTTATTAAATATTTTTTTAAATTTTTCTTTTTATCCCAAAGAAAAAAGGTCACAGCATCCTCTCTTCAAAGGCAAAAATCCTTAAAATTCAAAGGGAAAATAAAATCGTCTCAGATTGCGGAAATAAAAATAAAACTTTTAAAAAGGCAATATTTAAAGTATTACTCACACTTAAATAAATATAAATAAATTCATCACAGAAAAGCGCGCAAGAATATAGGAGGATAAAAAAAAAGACAAGATATATAAGGATTGTTTGGTTTCCAAAAAAATATTTTTTTGTTGAAAGAGATAGAGGGGTGTGACCATAATATCGGCCAATTTAACAAAAAAAAGGCGTCGACCCATCAGCAGTTTTGAGTAGAAAAAAAAGATGATATTTAAGTATATAAACATAAATAAATATAAATACTCTTGGCCCTTCCAATATTTTTTGGTAATGTTTTAAACCCAGAAGATCGAATTAGAAATAAATAAACTTGAATTAAAACAAGTTTATTTTTCTTCAAAACATTAGTTATTGTTAAAAACATGTTTAGCAAACAAGTTTATTTTTTTGAGTTGAGATGTTTTTAGAAAAGAAAGTTTATTAATTTAAACAAACAAGTAAAACAAGTTTAATTTTCTAAAGACTAGGAAAATGAAACAAACATTTGTTTCCGGAAAATTTTAGTTCCTTAAACATTAGTTGTAGCTAAACATGTTTTTAGCAAAAAAGTTTATTAATTTAAACCACTAAAACAAGCTTAAACTTGGAAAATTTCATCTAATAAATTTTGGTTAGTGTGATATTAGGAAATATTTATTGAAATTGAACTTTTTCTAGGCGAGAATTGACATTTGTTTATAAAAATTGTGTGTCTCATTTTGGTACTTTTTAGGTTTTTAGGGTGGATCCCCGCACAATTTTTAACGCTACAAAGGGAAATAGAAGGAGAAAAAGGGGAAGAGTTTAGGAGAGATTGAATTGCAAGAAAATTTTTAGGAAGAATAAAAAAAAGTAATCTAATAAAATAAAAGAATAAATATTCATTGCTTTTAGAGACCCTTCTTGTTTATAAAAAATTTGTTTATTTAAACCTAAACCTTTTTTCTTCCCCCAAAAATCCTCTAAATACCCAAAAAATATTTTCTTTTCAGTCACCGGAAGGATTTTCGAGGAGAGAGACAAAGTTAAAAAAGAAGAAGAGATTTGCAAATGCAATGGACCGAGGTAAGCGGTGAATCCTTTATTTTTCTTTTACTCACATACAAACCTCTTTTTTAACTTTTAGAACGACATCAAAGTCACAAATGCGCGAAAATAATAAAAAAAGTTTTGTCTGGTCAGAAATATATAAAAATATAAATTTAAAACTTAAAATGTATTAGAAACTAAAAAATTAAGATTAAACTTAAAATTATTAAGATTAAACTTGAAAACATTAAATTTAAGTACAATTAAAACATTAAATATGGAAAACTTAAAGAAAGCAAAATTACAACAAGTTTATTAAATGTTATCAGGCAAAAAACAAGTTTGTTTTCCTTAAAACATTTGTTCCAAACATGTGTTTTCCGGAAAGTTTATTTTCTTTTCAAACATTTGTTTTCCGGAAAAGGTTATTTTCTTTCTATACATGTTTTCCGGAAAAAGTATATGTTCTCCAAAACATTTTCCCAAACATTTTGTTTCCCGAACATGTTTGTTTGTCAAAAGGCAGAAAAACAAACTTGTTTCTTATTATGTTTTCAAGTTTATTTAATTCTCTACAAAAATATTAATAAAACTTGGAATTATTTTTAAAGTTTAAAACACCTTAAGAATGAGAATTTTTAGTTGCGCCAAGGTAAAAGGTGGGTGTAAAGAGCGGTAGATGAAAAAAAGATACAATTGAGGTACAAGGAGAGAAGAAGGTCATTTTTTGAGTTAGCACTAAAAAATGATTGGATAGAAAATGAGTAAAAAAATAGAAAAATGTATTGAATAATGATTGCATTAGATGGAAAACTCAACAAACACAAAACATGAATAGATTTTTAAAGTTTTTAATAAAATATAAATTTTATGTAAAAAATTTAAAAATTAAAAAAAATTGAAGAGAAAGTTTTAGAATTAAACTCCGTAAAACAAACAAGTTTATTTAAATTAAGTTTTCCAGGTAAAACAAGTTTATTTTTCAAACATCTAAACATTTTCCGGAAAGGTTTATTCTATAAACATTTAAAATGTTTTACAACAAGTTTTTCCAACATTTGTTTTCCGGAAAGGCTTATTTATTTTTAAAAACAATGTTGTTCAGTGTTTTTAAATGTTTTTAAGCAAGTTTATTTATTTAAACATGTTTCCAAAACAAGTTTATTTTGTTATAAATTTGTTTCCTTAATAAAGAAGGTTTATCACAGGGTTCGGATCGAGAAAATGTCAAGTGTAAGTACAAAAAGTTCAAATTGGAAGTACACAGGGGGAAAAATTTTAAAAATGTAAGTACGCTACAAAAAAATTTTTCAAAAACAAAAAAAGCTGCTAAAAAGTCTTCCATTCCAAAAGCTGCTAAAAAGTCTTCCGAAGCTGCTAAAAAGTCTTCCATTTTTTGCGCCGCAGGCGCAAATTTTGAGAATTTTGGGGATCCTTAAGCCAGATTTCTTCCATTTTTTTTGCGCCGCAGGCGAAAATTTTGGAATTTTTAATGTTAAATTTTATTTTTTAACCAAAAAGTCTATTTGTAAGTACGTACTTACAAATAAGTACATTTTTAATTTTGGAAGTACGAAGGTCGATTTGTAAGTACTGTACTTCCAAAATAAGTACGAATCCGAACCCTGGTTTATCATAATCCAAGTATGCGTTAATATTTAGAAGAAAAAGAAGCGGCTTATTATTTTTGACGTCCCCAAATCATTAGTTGCCTAGTTTTTTCTTGGCATTTTTTCCAACCACGTCTATTATTAGTCTTCTCATCATAACCCCAAAAAATGCCAATTTTTCTGACCCATTTTCCAATCCCTTGGGAACATCAAATTGCGCTGTGTCAAGTCAAAATTTCAAAAATGCGTTATGAGCGTAACTTAAATCTTGATATAACTTTCACCGACTACTTCAAAATTTTTAAAAAATAAAGTTTCAGTCAGTTTTTTTCTTCATTTTTTTAGTAATGTGGTATTCCTCTGTGTATTAAGTTTTGACGAAAAAATAATATTAAAAAAATGAAAAAATTATACCCAAAAATAAACAGTTAAAAATACATAAATCTTGAGAAAACAAACTTGTTTTCCGGAAAAAAGAATTGTGAAACAAACATTTTTAAAACAAAATAAATAAAACATCCCGGAAAACAAATGTTTAGAGCAAAACATTTTTCATGATATATAAACATTTCCGGATAACAATTAAAAACCAAAAACATTGAAAACATTTTCCGGAAAAACTTGAAAACATTAATATATTTTCCGGAAAACATTAAAAACATTAAACATCATCAGGAAAACATAAAAAACAAACAATTCCTTAAAACATTACAAACATTAATATGTTTTCCGGAAAACATCAAAGCATTTATATGTTTTGCTGAAAACATTAAAACATGAAACATTTTCCGGAAAACATTTAAAACACAAAAACATTTAATATTTTTCCAAAAACATTAAAAGTTTAAAATCCAAGTTTAATAAATGTTTTGAGTTTAGAAGGCGTTTCTGCTAAAGCTTCTCTTCTCTGCTTTTTCACAGCAATGCGCGAATAACTACTTAAAAAGGGTGGAGTGAATAAAATAAAAAAAAAGAGAAGAGAAGTAAAAATGCATGAATGAGAGAATAGTAGTAGATAAAACATACGGTAATCCTTTTGCAAGCTTTGCACCTTCTTTCTTTTTATTCTTCCGGTCGAGTAAATTTTACAAAAAAAAAGTATTTATTTAGAAGGGAAAAGGGAGGAGGATTTGATGTGTAGTGTAAAGTGGATTTTTTTAATCATTTTATGCGTACAATAAAGTTGGTAAAAAATACAAGTTTTTTAAAAATAATAATAATTTTATTTAAAGAGTCAAATTGACTGTCTAATTGAGTGAGAGTTAAAGTAGAAGTTTAAAGAATTTGAACTGAATAAGAAAACAAACAATAAAAGGAAAGAAGAGTGCTTAAAAAGAAGAAGCCTATTTTGTAATATAAGAGAAGAAAAAAGTTTATTTTTTTGACAGTAATTTGGAGCCTGAGGGGATGAAGGAATGGGCAAGCTTTTCCGAAAAAAATATTTGATGGTGAAAATTTTAAAAAAAAAATAAAAAAAAATTTAAAAAAAAATTTTCTAAAGTTTTTGAAAAAAAATTTTTTTTTAATTTTTTCAAATTTTGACTAAAAATATTATTTAATAAACGTGATCTTTTGGATATTTT